GTGACCCAAGTGGAGAGAGGGTAATCTAGAATGTGGGGTTTGTCAGGTGATGCAATATTCAGTTAGACAACAATAATAATATTATTATAGTTTTATCATTTATACCTTGCCCATCTGGCTGGCTTTCGCCAGCCACTCTGGGCAGCTTCCAGCAAAATATATAAAATGCCAAACATTAAAAAACTTCCTGATAGATGCCTTCAGATGTCTTCTAAAAGTTGTGTAATTCTTTATCTCCTTGACATCTGATGGAAGGGCATTCCACGGGGTGGGCACCATTAATGAGAAGGCCCACTGCCTGGTTCCCTGTAACCTTCATTTCTCGCAGCGAGGGAACCACCAGAAGGCCCTCGGAGCTGGATCTCAGCGTCCGGGCTGAACGATAGGGGTGGAGACACTCCTTCAGGTATACAGGACCAAGGCCATTTAGGGCTTTAAAGGTCAGCACCAACACTTTGAGTTATGCTCGAAAATGTACTGGGAGCTTGAAAGTGGCCTGAATTCCTTTTCAGCCTATGAACACTCTGCTACCATCTTACTTGTCACACCTGAGGCTGAATAGAGGACTCTGCTTAACCACAAGGTTCCTCTGCAACTCAACAGATTAAGGTAGCAAATGCCCATTAACCAAGTCAAAGCCTACCATCATGTTAATCATCCAACACGAAAAGGGCCTTCAAGCAGCGGGATTTAATTGCATTCTCCGCAGAGCCTACTTCTTTGTGTTCAACATACAGAAATGAGGCAATTAAGGCTTGTTTTTGAAATGCTAATTAATTATTTTGCAAAGGCTTAATTCCTTTGAAGTGGCAATTAGTACCATACATTAGAAAACAGCAACAACAAAATGAAAGTCTCTGGGAAAACCAACAAAACAAAAGCAGCATTTACCTGTTAGATTTAAGACTGCCTCGGACCTTTGGTCTTCCAGCTGTTTCTGAACTCCAACTCCCATCATTCCAAGCAAGCATAACCATTGGCAGGAATGATGGGAGCTGTAGTTCAGCAACATCTGGAGGGCCAAAGGTTCCCTACACCTGCTCTATAAAAAAAGATCTAAAGATGCAGAAAGCTTGGTATGATCAATGGAGACTTTTCTCTAGGTATGTGCTAAGGACACGATAACGGTGGTACCTTGGGTTATGAACTTAATTCGTTCCGGAGGTCCGTTCTTAACCTGAAACTGTTCTTAACCTAAGGTGTGCTTTCCCTAATGGGGCCTCCCACTGCCGCCGCACCACCACCACGCGATTTCCGTTCTCATCCTGGGGCAAAGTTTGTAACCCGAGGTACTACTACCGGGTTAGCAGAGTTTGTAACCCGAAGTGTTTGTAACCCAAGGTGTTTGTAACCTGAGGTACCACTGTACAAGGAAACCTCAGAGCAACTCATTGCTCTCCAAATATTTTGGACTACAACTCCCATCAGCATCAGCCATCACAGACCACAGCTGATGGGACTTGTAGTCCAAAGCATCTGCAAGGCACAAGGCTGGGGAAGGTTGCCTTGGAGAATAACTGAAATGCCCTCTGTGCACTCTTCTTGGCATCTCATTGGCATTGCCTGTTTAGGGCCATTCAGTTTGTTATTCTCAGTGAGCTGCTTCCATACTAAAATGAATGATTCTCAAGCAGCAGAATCCAGATGTGTTCTATACTACAAGGATAAGGAACCTGTGACCCTCCAGATGTTGTCATCCTAACCATTAACCGTGCTGACTGGTGTTGATGGGGAGTCCAACAACATTGGTGGGGGTGGCACAGGTTCCTCCCCTGCTCTACAAAGTCCATTTGTTCTGTGTGACGTCCTCTTTTATGATGTTGTTTGTTTTTATCATTTTAATCTTTGATGTGATTTCTATTTCTAAAGTGTCCTGAGTTTATTATTAGCTTAAAGGCAGGATATCAACGCACAAACAAACAAACAATGAGCCAGCCATTAAGAAACCTATTTCTGTATTGAAAGTAACACTGAGAGATACTATCTCTATATTCTCTGATGCTGCAGATCTGGGGCAAAGAAATAACCTTGTGTGCTCATACATAACTTGACATTCTCTGCTTATAATGTATTGTATTATTTATTTCTCAGATGACTATATTACTTCCCAGCAGTGTGGGATTTATGTACAGTGGTACCTCGGGTTACATACGCTTCAGGTTACAGACTCCGCTAACCCAGAAATATTACCTCGGGTTAAGAACTTTGCTTCAGGATGAGAACAGAAATCGTGCTCCAGCGGCACAGCAGCAGCGGGAGGCCCTATTAGCTAAAGTGGTGCTTCAGCTTAAGAACAGTTTCAGGTTAAGAACGAATTAAGGACTTAACCCGAGGTACCACTGTATAGGCTAAGTAGGCTGAAGCCTAGGGCCTCTAAATCTAGGGGGCTTTGCCAGCCTGTCTGCTCCCCAGCAGGCAACCTCCCCTCTCCCAAAATTGCAAACCCAAGACTTCATGCAAGAGCAGGGCAACTCAGACCCAGCAACTATGAGACTCAGAGCTAGCCAGTGGGGCCCAATTTGAAGCAGTGGGGCACAACTTTAGGTTGTTGTTTTTTTGTAGGGCCCCAGTTCACAGCCAAAGTCTGCAAAATCTTACAGATATAAAGAAAATCCATCTAGATTGCCCTGGTGTGGGGGCCCCTTAGGAGCAGCCCGTGGGGCCCAATTGGCCCAATTGCTCCAAGTGCCTTCAGGTCAGCCCTGATGAGACTGTGCAAGGGTTGGACTGACAAGCCCGACACAAGGACTTGTTATGGAAATAAAGGGGGGGCACTTATTGGAAATCAGGTTTGTCACCTCTCCCCCCCCCCAAACCCCACTTTTTATTCACCCAAACCTTTGGAGTTTAATTCTCTGAATATTTTTAGTGTGGTGGGTGGGTAGGGTTGGATTTGCTCTTTTATGCATATGATTGTGAGTATTACATGTTGCTTTTATTCCTGTTATATATCCATTTTTAATCCTTGTTTTCGTATATCACTTTGAGTTCTTAAAAACAACACACAAGCAATTAATTAAGAACACCAACATTTCCTCCAGCTACTGCTGATGAGGATGCTGCCAGTGATAGCTTCTGTCTGCCTTTAGGAGGGTGGTTTGTGGTGTTCCTCACTAGCAGGGCTTCACCAACAGTGGCAGAGCTCCCACTGGTGGAGTCTAGCAGAACTGGGTAATGCTGGGTGGAAAGACACCTCCATTCCATGTAGATCCCCTTTAGGACAAAGATCAAGGGTTTGAATTTCTCAGTTGCTCTACGTACATCTACTAGGAAACAGTTGCATGTAGCTAGCCATCTGCTGCTCTTGAGGGCCATTGATGGTTACCAGTTGCCAGGAAGCAGAGCAACCTGGCAGTTTGTTAGATGCAGTGTGCTGCCAGTAGGGTCATATTTTCCTCTTTTCCTTTGCCTCTTCAGTCTGAGCAACTGATCTCTGTAAGAACATCTAAGGGGGCTTGTCCTAGAGCCTGCTTTATAGAGTACACCTTGACGGCTGCTTCAGCTTAAGATAAAGGTAAGGGTACCCCTGACCATTAGGTCCAGTCGTGACCGACTCTGGGGTTGCGGCGCTCATCTCGCTCTATGGGCCGAGGGAGCCAGCGTTTGTCCGCAGACAGCTTCCGGGTCATGTGGCCAGTATGACTAAGCCGCTTCTGGTGAACCAGAGCAGCGCACAGAAACGCCGCTTACCTTCCCGCCGGAGCGGTTCCTATTTATCTACTTGCACTTTGACGTGCTTTCGAACTGCTAGGTTGGCAGGAGCTGGGACCGAGCAACGGGAGCTCACCCCATCGCGGGGATTCGAACCGCCGACCTTCTGATCAGCAAGTCCTAGGCTCTGTGGTTTAACCCACAGCACCACCCACGTCCCTCTGCTTCAGCTTACTTACCCCCAAAATTAGTAATACATGCTATGTACATATCTTCCTCTTCTTTCCAATCATGGTGATAGTAAGGATCACCTTTCCTTTGGCAATGCATTGCCTATTATCCAAGTCCTGAATGGCTGTGGAGAGTGAAAGCAGGAACTCCTTGGCATAGACTCTTTAAGACTCCAGATGTTGCATCTCACCAGAGACAAAAGAGAGGCCCTTGCCTGGTGTAGCAATTGCAACATGCTGTGCTCAGTGGTGCATGATTTTAAATCTTATTTTAAAGGGATGTTGTGGGGATTAAACGAGAAGGAGAAGTATACCTGAAGAAGCATCTCCTCCCCCATTGTTCAGCCCAGACACTGAGGTCCAGCTATGAGGGCCTTCTGGCAGTTCCCTCACTTTGAGAAGTGAGGTTACTGGGAACCAGGCAGAGGGTCTTCTCGGTAGTGGTGCCTGCCCTGTGTTGAGGACCAGATGTCAAGGAAATAAACAACTATCTGACTTTTAGAAGACATCTGAAGGCAGCCCTGTGTAGGGAAGTTTTTAATGTTTGATGTTTTATTGTGTTTTTAATATGTTGGGAGCTGCCCAGAGTGGCTGGGGAAACCTAGTCAGATGGGTGGAGTACAAATAAATAAATTATTATTATTATTATTATTATTATTATTATTATTATTATTATTAAGCATGCATGCCACCTTGGAGAAAAGGTGGGCTACTAACACAATGATTAATAATAACAATAACAATAATGTCGAAGGGCCCCTATAACTCATGACGTCTGTGACTAATGGCTGGACGCCACAGCTGAACCTGTCCATCTGTCATGGCCATTTGTCATAGATGCTTTAGCTGAGATTCTTGCACTGCCGGGGGTTAGGCTAGATGACCCTTGGGGTCCCTCCAAACTACGATTCTATTATTCTTATGCACGCGAAACAGAAGAGCGAACAGCAGGCGGGTCTCCTCCCAGCGCCTTCCTAACCGTGTCTACTCAGAAGTAAGTCCTTTCGAATTCAACGGGGCTCCCTCCCTGCTAAATGGGGTTAGGATTGTCTAGCCGCAGTCCAGTCTTTCAAGCGAGGCCTGCAGACCGAAGGCAGCCGAGAGTCCTACTGAGCCGCTCGAGGAAGTGGCGGCGGCGGCGGCGGCGGCTCCGCCTCCTGCGCAGCACCCGGCGGCTCTCAGTGCGCAGGCACGGGTCGCGCCGAGCTCGCCGGGTGTCCATAATACGTGGCGTCTGAGGCTGGAGCGACGCACAGGCGAGAGATGGGAGCCGCGCGAGAGATCTGCGGCTAACCCAGCTGCATTTGCTCGCCCGGCAAGGAAGGTGGAGGAGAAGGCGGATCAGGTAACCCGGAGCTTTCTTAGTTGCAGACTGCTCGTTCGCTCCCGCCGCTTTCTCTGGTTTGTTGTTTTTTTTAATCCTGCGCGTTACTTTCAAATCAAAACACAGAAAAACCGAGCTTCTGGAGCAGATCTGGGTCCGCAAGGAAGGCAGGGAGCGAATAATCCGTTTTTGCAAAGTATGCGTGTGCGTTTGAGCGGGTGCTCACTGCATGTTGCATACTCTGTCCTAGCAGTTTTACAGAAGGAGAGAGAAGGGCAGGAGCTCGTCTCTGCGTTTAGGAGGAGCTATGTAGACACAGTGTTTGCAACTTGCGCGGCGAGTTTCCGTCCGGGAGAGAAAAGAACCCTCACCCTTCGCTAGAAGGCTTTTTTGTTGCTTTTTAAACTTGCAGACTGCCCTTCACCTCCCAAGGATTTGCTGATCTGGAGGAAGGCGTTGCGTTATGGTTGGGGCGCGAGGGATAAAAGAGTCCCGAAATGGTTAGAAATGAAGGGTGCGCAGGGGGCATTGGAGGAAAGTGGGGTAAAGTGGCCTCTCCCGTTGTTGTTTACTTGGCAGGTAGAAAGGGGAAGGTTCTTAAAAACGTTTAATAAAAAAAAACCGTAAGATACGAATTCACGAGTTTGCAGGCTGGAGAGTGCCTGGGACGCTGAAACTGTTGCTTGGCTCGTTTATTGACGTTCAGCACCTTGGAGAGCTCCCGCGCTGACACGAGCCGGCAAATGCCCCTGCTGGCCGGGCCTAGAGGCAGCTTTTGATTTATCTTGTGCCTCGTGTAAGAAATGTTCTTCAGCGACCTGACTGCACATTTTTAAACATTGTTTTAACTGATTTTCATATTTACTTTTTACATCGTGTGACCCTCCTTGAAACCTTAAGGTGCTATATACATAAAAATATTAGTATTGGTATTAATTTGATTTCTAATTATTATTAAACCTAACACCCCATACTCCATTTCCTTCCTTCCTTCCTTCCTTCCTTCCTTCCTTCCTTCCTTCCTTCTTGCTTCCTTCCTTCCTTCCTTCCTTCCTTTCTTCATAGGCAATAGTTCATTGGCTCTCATGTTCCATGTATTTTAAGCCCATAACATTGCATCCCCAGCTCCCCCCCCCCCCATTTTTCAGTCCTGGTTCTGTGGGTCAGACCCCAAAGGAAACTGTTGCCTTCTATTATTAAAGTCTGCCAATCAAAGGTAAATCATTTTATTGACAATGAAGCTTACTGACTTTTTCTTTATTGCATGTGTCTCTCAAAACATGGCTTGGGCTTATAATTTATTGGTAATCATCTTAGTAACTTGTCAAAGAAGTATTCAACAATGACCTGCCTACCCATGGGGGGGACTTTTAAAGAGGATTGATGGGACAGAGGCAGAGGCAGAGAAGAGGATATGAAATCCTATAGAGGATTTCCCACCTCCCACAATGGTTTGTTGGGGTGCTACTGTAAACAACAGATTGTTGCATAAGCTGATGGCAAAATGTTTGTGGCAGGTATTAAGATGCCTTCACACAAAGAGTTAAGCATATGGCTTCTAAAGACCTATGGCCCTCAGGCTAATTTCAGGTGGGCTTCCAGCTGCTGCAGGCCCACAGTTGCTCTCTGCACCACCCCTCTGAGAATTGCTTGAGGAAATGGACAGAGCCAAAAAGATGGGGAGAGAATCCCTTTGCAAGTGATCTGCTCCAACATGTGTTAATGGCAAGGGGGGAATGGATAGATAAATGGAGGAAAGGTTAAGAACACAAACACATAGCTATGCAATGCTACAAATGGCATCTCTCAGGTCATGCCCACCACTGGCATACAACTCCCTACAAATTACCTTTGAGCTTAAAGAGAAAAGGGGAGCTTCCTCATCCTTGCCCTAAATGTCTCATTCAAGTGGGTGGGTGACTACTTGACATTCATCAGGTCTTATCCAGATCACTGTTTGGAGAGATGCATGTGGTTCCTCAAGTGTTTCAGGGGATCCAGATGTTCTTCCTTGAAGAAGTGTGGGACAACTTGCAGGGCACTGCGTTTTCCCAGTGTAAAACACAGCATTCTGAGGGAAATGTGATCAGCACTGTTAGCACTTCCTCTGTGATAGTGACTGCTGTAGAGGACATGGCAGCACAAATAAACATGGGCATCAGAAGCAGTAGTCAGCCTTCAAGGCCTATCCAAATTCACCTTACTTTGTTAGATGTTGTTCTCTCCCTGTAACAGCAGAGTGCATAAGCACTCAAACTTGTGGAGACCTGCAAGGTTAATGTCGCCGCTGAATCAGCAACAATAATTCCCTGCCATTTTTGAAACCATTTCCTGTGCTCTTAAGGCTGCATCCTCCCCCTCTCCAGTGCAAAAAAGGACAGCCTGCCAATGCTTTCTTTAAAAAAAAAAATCTCAGAAAAATATTCCCTCTCACTTGCTCTACTTGTATATTATCTTTGAAGGTAGCATTCTATGGATTATCTGTTTCATGTCAGTGAAGGTCATCTGAACACCTAGCCATTTGATAAGGGTGAAGGGTGAATATGCCCTGGATTGTGGCATTAGGGTGACTGCTGTCCTCGCAGAAGGCATGTGGGTTAACATAATTAAAGTCAATCTTACTTTTTAGCTTAAAAAATGAGAAAGTAACAAGTTATTGCAATTTTCACATTATCTGTAAGTATAACAACAAACAAGAAGAAACAACAAACAGAACTAGTCTTTTTCTCAAGGACTGCTTGTATAAAATAGATTTTTCAAGTTTTATTATAGCAACAACATATAGATGAATTGTAATCACTCTGTGTGAGAAATATGCTGCATGCAAACTTCTGAACAGTAAAGAGCTCTCACAAAAAGACTCATATTAAGTTCAAAAAATTGAAACTTTTAAACAGCTGACTGTCCACAGTTATCAATTCCCTCTTCTATTTTGTGGGAGTAAAAATTACTATAACAAAATCTTCTGTTTAGAAAATTGGTCTTTGTACACTGATGTGCTCATCCAAAATCTGCTAAATTTTATGTAATGGTGGGCACAGCAATACTATCCTTAGGAAGAAGGAGACTCTATGGGAGAGCAAGTGCCTCATCCATTGCCCTACTGGCTTACTAAGGCCAGGGTGAGAGGAAGGAGACAGGGTGTTTATTTTTCCCTCCTGTTGACTTCAGTGGGAGTGAAAAGCCTACTTTAGACCATGGGTTGGTGCAATTTCCGTCTAACTTTGTGGGTATGTTGTGGTTAATGACTGGGCTTTGGATCCTGCAGATTCAAGGTCACTCCTGACATGCCCCCTTGGGAAACCACATTTGTGGCCCCTTACTGACCCCAGAACACCATTGACAGGCAGCTGCACCAGCGGAACTTCTCATGGGCATATTGGGGAAGGTTCCATCAGCATAGACCCTCCACACTTACACAGTTTCCTAAAGCCTGCCAACCAGACCACATTTAGCTGTAGGATTGCAGTCAATATTTTATTTTGAATTGCAGCTCAAGCCACAGTTCCTTTGCATCTGCGTCTGTTCTGCTTGCGGGGCGGGGAGAGGGAAATCATTTTATGAAATACTGATGGGGACCAATAAATGATCTAAAAAGAGCTCTAATGTGTTCATGTTTCCCTGGACTGATTGAGACAAGCATCACTATTTTTCTTCTGTTATGTTACTGGTTCACATTATACTGGTGCATACTCTCAAGTTACTCATGAAAATATAATGGAATAGATTAAAGATTCATTCAGTACTTTTTGCAGCCATGTTCTCAACATTTAATCTATCTATTCACAAATCTGATCACACCTGCAATGTGCTGCTGGAGTGTAATAACGCTCAAAATCCACGCAAGGCAGCCTTTGCCATGGCAACAGAAGTTGCTAAGGGATTACCTACCAGGCAGCTGCATGTTCCAAAGATCTGATTGTACATTTTCTTTGTTTCTCGATGATCTCACTCATTAGCTATTCTGCTGTGAAAAGTTTCAGTGTCAGCTACAACTTGCCGGATAAGTTAAATCTTATAACTAAAGGGCCAGTGTAACTTACCATCCTTAGACAACCTTAGAGATTTGTATTTTATCCAACAATCAATTAGATGCAAGCAAATAATACATCATATATCAACATTTATTTTGTAAAAATAGAAGTCTTCCAATGCCTTCTTTCTCCATCGTAAGTGTGGGTTATTTTTGCTCTGCTTCATCCTTTCAGCTAACATACTTTTGTGATGACAGTCTCTGCTGTTTTGTGCCCAGAGCATAAGAGAAACAAGTTTCATAAGTGATGCCATCCATGGGACTAGATGGTTGCTAAGATCCCACATAACTCGATTCTATGGGAAAGCTTGTATAGTTGACATTAAAACTTTGTGGAGGGGGGGGCTTGCTGAAAACAGCCCTCCCCCACTTGGTGCCCTCCTGGTGTTGAACTACAACTCTCATAATCCCTGAACATTGGCCATGCTGGCTGAGGCAGATGAGAATTAGAGTCTAACAACATCTGGAGGGCATCATGTTGGGGAAGGCTGACTTAAGGGATGAGAGAAACCATTCACAGGGATTTTGCTGGTAATTTTGTTTTCCCAGTCCCAGCCAAAGTGTTTTTGGAGAAAATCCTCTTGCAGTTCAAACTTCAGCCAGTCCCTTGGTCCATTGCTTGGTCCATTGCTTTGTCCATTCTACGTTGGCCTGGCCACAAACTGGAGCAGGCAGGTAGCATGTGCTGGAGTTGCAGTACCTCGGATAGCTCCAATTGGAGTTCACCACATCTGGAGTTCAACTGAAGCCTTCTGTCCTCCTTGGGACAGACTACACCTGCAAGGTTCAGCCCCACATTCCTGAAGAGCACGGAGTACTAGGGCAAAACTATATATCACAATAAATGCTTCATTGGCAAACAGGCATGTGGTTACAGTGGTTTTTAACAGTAAAGCCAGAGTGTGTGCACAATTCTTCTCAAGATCACAACACACAGGGAAGGAAGGTTTTACCGTTTTCTCCCCACCCATGAATCTGATTAAAAATG